TAACTAAAGAATGCTTGAAGATCATGGAAAATAATAACAAAACAACTGATAACAGAAAACTGAAAACTCAGAGTCACAACAAATAAGAACCATAACACTTGCTAGAACCATTTTTCCAAGATCTCCTACAGCACCTTTAAATACGAGCATCCTAATTATGTCTTGATTCGTTCAGAGTTTATTGAATCTCAGGAGATGGATAATGACGATAACAAAATCACCCATGGGGCATTTGGTTGCAGCTATCTTTGTTGCTATGGCTATGCCACACCTATATTCTGTTCCCTTCTTCCCCTAACAGATCACAGTCCTCATTGTATCATAGCTGACCCCTTTCCTGGGGTAGACCAGACTTTAAAAATTTTTTCTATCTCAAGATCTTTCAACTGAAACAGGCATAAAGAACGAATGTAGATCAGGAACTGAAATAACATTATTATTGTTTTTATTGATAATATTTATTGAAAGAAATTTGGAGAAAGGGATCTTTTTTCAAAAGGTAGAGTCTTCCTTCAGAAGTTAAGGAGGTGAATCAACTCTTATGAGGGGAATAGCACCTGTTAGAACTTATGATGCTGTTGGAGGAATTGCCAAAAAAATTTAGTGAAACAATAATGTCTGTTCACCAGTATCCGTTCAGTCATCTGTGAAGTTGAAGTTGCTAGTTGAAGCAAACTAATGCCAACAGGCTTTCATGTAAGTGGAAGGAAGTGAGAGGGGGAAAAAAACAACTACAGTGAATGGATTATGCAGGAATAAAAAAATAATGGTGTAGAAAGCTCACCTGGCTCTCAAGAACAAGTCTCTCCTCCAGTAGGCCCTATAAGCCAATCAAAGCCCGTATCAAGCTGACTGGGCACCCAGTCCAGACAAGGGATTATCATTTAGTTAAGTTTTTATTAGTGAATCCCATTTCAACCCTACCCAGCCCTCTTATCACCTTAAAATGAAACTACAAGAGGTAGGGGCTAAAAAGGTAATCCCTATGAATTGGGACACCCCTTCAACAAAATACATCATCAATAGTTACCGCTTGCTTTTAGTTAAGCACTCACAACAAGATGTTGCTGGACATCTGGAGAAAATCCCATTGCACTTACCCCTTCCCCTGTGCCCTAACAGGAATTGGGAAACCCCTACCCTTACACATGAATGCACAACATGGAGGGGAGGGACTAAGGGCTAGGGTCAAGGGGGGAAATCAAATTCACCCTTTATTTATAAACGTAGGTCTTCCCCAGAATAAACTCTAGCTGCCAAATGTTTTATTCCATAAAACACCAACAGAAAGTATCCTCTCTGTGTGCTCCTCCATTTAGTCTTTGTTTAGGATTCCCTACAATAGAGCAGATGTACAGACTAATACCTCATAATCGGACCAAAGATGTTATAAATAATAAGGCTGCACAATATTCTAAATATAATGCTACTATTCGGTAAAACCTACTTTCCCTGTTTTTCTCATATCCCTTCCAGCACTCTCTGTGACCTTTAGCATCTTGGCCACTTTAATTTGTAGTCGGTTTGGGCATCAACTCTATTTGCCAGTATGATAGTCAGTGGCCCAAATGTGTTTTCACAATCACATTATCCAGTAAATATTGCCTTTAAAACTCATAACTGGAGGGAAAAATGTGCCGTAGTGTCGTAGATTTAGCTGAAAAAGACGACTGAATATTTGATGTAGTTTTATAAAGCTTTACTTCCAAACTGCAGTATCACTAACATTCACAAATATATTTTGCTGAGCTTCTTCATCGCTGTTCATAGGTTGGAAAAAACAACCATACTAATATGTGGTACCTGCGCCCTCTAATGAAGAAATTCTTGTGCAGTCAAACTAGTATGACAAAATTTACCGTGTAAAACAAATCACCTTTTGGTTTAAAACAATCATTTAACTATAATTGTATTGCATTTATTTGATTTTCTAATTAAATTCTATTTAATTATGAACTTATGAATTAAATTAATTATTAATAATTAATTCAGAATAATTAATTATTATGAATTACCATATTATCACAATATTTAACTGGTGCAACTCTAAAAATAAGTAGCAACAAAACCTTTAGTTTGGACTTCTGTTAGCTAGCAGTAATAGATATAATAAGTTTGATGTGATATGTGTCATTTGCTTTTAGAGAGATGTTTGGTCTCTTTGTGACAGCGCTGAGGATAAATTCATGTAGAGTATTTTCTGTCCTCTGTTCTACAGTGTGGAAGAGAAGATCAAGATCATGGAGAAGAAAGTGAATGACCTGGTGGAGGAGAGCTGCATGGCGCAGATCACGGGCGCTTTACAGCTGGTCAGACCCTAAATCTGATTCTAAACATGACAATAATATATGAAAGTAAAACTGGAAGCATCCTTCGGGAGAACTATGGACAGTAATTGTTTAACTGAATAATCCTGAGTGTAAGGCTGAGAAGAAAAATGAGAGTTCACGTCAGCAGAGCCGACCAGTTGGTTCGCTTCCTCTGTATTTAAATTCAATTCTGGGTCAGCTATGCCAAAACCTTGCAGGCAAGTTGCTATCTCACATTTCTGGTACCCTGCAAGCTGAAAGATATAGAACAGCTTCTTTCTGTACTTAAACACTTCAACAAACACTACTTAAGCATTTATTACAAATTCTAAACATAATAGCATAATCATACAAACATAAAATTATGGAAATCAACTCCACATTACTGGCCGCAATCTTCTTTATATATTGTAGAAAATATTTAAGTAATTCTGTAATGATCTCTGAATGTTGGACCCAGAATTCGAGGTGAGACAGGCAGTGGGAAAGTTCAAAGCTTTTATTTAAAACAAATAGGAGAGCAGGGCTGCTCGTCAGCTTTGGGGCGTGTCTCTGCAGAGATAGGAGATACAGGTCAGTGATTGGATGTTGAGCTGATCACGACTTTGATCAAAGTCACTGACCTGATTCAAAGTTCAGTCCGTTCTCGGAGAAAAGAGCTGAATCCAAATGGGACACTGTTGCCGAGCAGCAACAGTGTCCATAAGGGGAAATCCAAAGCCAGAGTTAGAAGACAGGTCCAGGTTCAGAAGCTTTTGGAATCCAGGAATCAGTCCAGAACAGATCAGACAAACAGAGCAGACAGTGGCAAGGCAAAACTCAGGATCCATAGGGCAGAAACTGGTCACAATCGGAAAAAACAGAAGAGACTTCAAAAAGCTAGAGTTAGTCTCACCAAAATGCTCGAAAAACCTGGCGCTGATGGAAGGCAAGCATACAACATGAATAGCAGAGGAACCAGGTGGAAATGATTGGCGTTAATCAGCCACAGAACCAATTAGACAGGGGAGCAAGGAACAAATGAAAAAAACTAACCATCAGTGCCAAGATCATGACAAATTCTAGCCTTAATCTGTTCATTTATTCGTCACATAGAATGTCTGCACTGTCGGATAAAAAAAAAAAAAAAACAACTATGGTATTTCCCTTCAATTGATATTCAATTCAATTAAATTCAGATTATATAGAGCCAATTCACAACACGTCATCTTGCAGCAAGAAGGTTCTGGGTTCGATTCCCAGCCTGGGGTCTTTTTGCATGGAGTTTGGATTTTCTCCCTGAGCATGGGTGGGTTCTCTCCAGGCACTCCTGCTTCCTCCCAAAGTCCATAAAATGTGACTGTTAGATTAATTGGCTTCTCTAAATTCTCCCTAGGTGAAGGAGGTCAAATTAATTCAAAGTTTTTTATCTAAGGAAAACCAGTTGATTGCATCGACTCGTTGACTTAAAGGCAATCCCTCATATTGATTATTGTCTACTTTGAAAGAATAAATCATCCTTAAAATGATCAAAGTTTAATTGATTATCTATGAAAACCCCATAAAAGTGTTATTTGGATTGAATGTTGGCGAATGATCAATAAATGCTGTATTAATGTTTGAAAAAATGAAGGTAGAGATTTTGGTCTGAAATGTAGAAACTTTTATTCGTTTTACAGAAATTTAGTAACGAGCAGTCCCAAATTGTAAGCAATTTCTGACTAGTGGACTATTTTTTACTGATGAGAAATATATCTCTATTGCTGTTATGACTGTAAACAGTAACACATTTATAGAAAAAAAAGGACTGTAAGAAAACTTAAACTAATTCTTCTTATTTTTCCTTTTGTTATCATCACAATAGAACAGATGAAAAATTTTTTATAATGCAAGCATCACAAGAATGTAACATAGACCTTAGATCTCACTTCATATCGAGGTTGCAGACACATTACAAATCTCACAACAATAGGTTGAATTATTTGCGCCATTTGCTTCTCTAAAGTTTTTCTCATTACAGACAGATTGTCTCTGATATCTTCTTTGTTAATTGTTGTCTTTATAGCCTGTTATTTTTTTTGGCATTTGCTTTTGCAGGCGCTCCAAAAAGCCAAAGAGGCAGGCAGGAAGGAACGAGTGCTGGTCAGACAGAGGGAACAGTCGGGCAACACAGAACACATCAACATAGACCTCACTTATTCTGTGAGTAAAACAGTGATCATAAATCAGCTGTAGTTCTATTTATTGTTTCGCTTAAACAGTGTTATTATTTATAGGCTAATTAAATTGTGAAATTGTTTCTACCACTTCAAAACATTTGCTAATTATGTCTTTGTCAGGTTTTGTTCAACCTCGCCAACCAGTATGCAAACAATGAAATGTACCCGGAGGCTCTGACTACCTACCAGGTCATCGTGAAAAACAAGATGTTCAGTAACGCAGGTAACCAGATCCAGTTGGCTGCAGACTTACAGCGTATGTTCTCACAATGAGGCAGCTTGTATGTGGGGGTTCTGCAGCTCCGAACTAGAACAGAATAGTTTTGTAGGATCATTATCGTGATGAACTGACCACAGATGATGTTTTCAGCCCCCTCTTGGACATGATCTTCCCTCTGCTCTGAGGCAGCAGGACGCTGCCTGTCAAGGCTGATTTATACTTCGAAACCAGGTCGTCTGCGTAGGTGTCGCGGTGAACGCAGAGATGTCCCCAACGCAGACACTCTGGGGCACCTCTGTAGTGCCGCAGACAGGAGGTCTCTGATTGGTTAGATCTTCATCTACTCTACTCTATGCGTATCTCCTGTTTGGTACCTTACCGGCTTGTTTTGTTTGTATGACCACCATTGTGGAAACGACTCATGAAGTTGGACCAGCAAGACTAGCGAGGTGCGTGAGAACGCTAGGACCGTTTTTCCACCTGGGTCCCTGCTCTTTTTCACCCTCATGTCCTTCAGTTGTTGGACAAACTTGCCCCCACTTCCTCACTACCTCAGCCGTATCCAGACCCACAGCTAGTTCCTGGTTGTACCTGTTGTGCTGTGCGTAGATTAACATAGCGCAGACCACGCTTCAATGTTGGGCATAAACAGGGGTGGAAAGTAATGAATTACATTTACTCAAGTTACTGTAATTGAGTACTTTTTATGAGTAATTTTCTGAGTAGTTTTGGAAATATGTAATTTTTACTTTTACTCGAGGAAATTTTAACCTAAGTAGTTTTACTTTGCTACATTTAAAACCCCCTCACGTTACTGAGTAAAAAAATAATAATAATACTGATGGTGCAACAATTAAATGTGGCCCTTCCTTGCATTTACCCTTTTTATTGTCTCATAATCCAGTGCTGCGCTTAGGAAGATGGCAGTTGCTAATCACAACTTAGGGAGTATGGATGAGGAAAGGCCTGAAGAGGGAACATATTCTGGAGACGAAAGCCAGAAAAACCCTTGGCCATATTTGGAAGGATTATTTGTTTTCAAATGCACAAAAGGGAACAATGTGATAATGCAGTGCAACATGTGCCTGCCCAGCAAGGCACATGTTTTAAAACATCAACATCCAATTTACGTAAAAATGTGGGGGTTTATTTAGTTATCATGGCGTTGTCTGTTGGACAGCAGGATTAAAAATTGTTTGCACTTTATGGTACAGGTTGTGACTGTCCTTGTGCTATGAAGAAGTATGTTCTTTAGCCCGGCTGATCTTTTGCAAGTGTGCATGTCCACTGAAATACGCCTTG